CGGTACCAAAATGTTCTCGAGCTTTCAAACACCTCTTTGGAACTGATCACACCAAAAAAAAAACCAAACAAACAAAAAAAACAATAATCAAACATCATAATGAAAGACCAAATTTCAAATACTTAATAGTGCTTAATACTTACTATTGCTTAATAACCTATGCAGTCTACCTGGAAACAAATCAACTTTTTAAAAAAGCTCATGACCAACTATAAGATATGAATCTCTGGTTTTCAACCTGGCTTTCAAATGTTCACCTCTAGTTCGCCTACTGATGAACCAATACTGAGAAATAAACAAAAACTTGCTGAAAGGGAATGTGAGGAAACATCGTGAGCTATCAGGAATGACCTCATCCCTAAGGGGCTGCACACCAGACGCATGCCTAGGCAGTCCTCAAAGGAGGCGTAAAATTGATCTGCCTCTAGCTTTCATGTTTGGTGAAGAAGAAGTTTTACCGATTATTCTCAATCAGGCTGACCAACTATGTATCATGGAGAAAAATGACTTGCCTCCGACACCTATAAATTACTTTATCACACCTTTCTCTACCTGAAATGTACTTCAGCTCTTTCAGCTGTGCTTACATGGAGGTTCCGAGTTAAAATTTATCATCATTGATCTCCATCCATTCAAGGGACTAACTGTACACACATTCAGAACATTTTACAGTGGCCATTTCATATCTACAAGTGCGCATTAAACCATATGCAATATCTGAAAGGTTTGGTGTGTTTTGGAAGCACCAAATAAACGTTGCTAAGTACACAAGTGAACTATGATACTACTATTATTATCATCAGCAGCACGTCAAATAGAAAACATCCCATATGACGTGAAAGTGGAAAATCAATCAAAACACAGAGCTCTGTAAACCTGTAAAAACGATAAACTCACCTACTCCAACTTTCATTCACCATCAAGGATGAGGAACACTTCTCATCATGAAATGACACAGAGCTGAAATGCTATTTGGATGGTAACGCTCTTTAAATGAGATTGATGAACTGGATTAAAACCTCAAACGTCAAAACGAAACACTTACTGTCCTGAAACCCAGCACCTTGATGGACCCCTTGCAGTAGAGTTAAAATCTCCCGGGCTGTTTGTTCTAAGCTCTGCACTACTTTTCGGATTTCCTAGAAAGAATTAAAAACCAAAATATCAGGTCAGTTCAACATCATTATCATCATAGCCTGAAACCAAATATGCCAGGTAGCACGTCTGATTATGACGCCTTCACATACAGGGGAGACACTAACCATCTTCACAAGGACTGAGCCGGCACAGACAACACCCGGGTCTGAATCCCGACTCCCGCCCCTTCCTCTGAGGCCCTCGGCAAGGAAAGCCTGAGGTTCCTCATTAACCCTCAAGGTAAGAGCCGCCTCCCCGAATCTCAACTTCCCCGCAGGACCCCACAGCGCTGAAAGGGGCTCAGGCACCTGCATGCCGTTTGCAAAGACAAGAATAAAAGGCAGCACAGGGGTGGGTCTTTCTCATTCACTCATTCATTCTACAAACACTCACGGAGCACATCCCCGTGCTGGGCATGTGTCAATGCTGGGGAGCCAAGTACAGCCCCTCCTTTCGGGCAGTTCAGCTGACATTCAGAAGACAGGACTTGCACACGTTTCTGAAATGTTAATGCGTTACCAGAAAACGTAACAGACAATCGATCACTTGGCCTGTGAAATCCCGGAGATGAATATGGGGAGCCGGGCGGAGGGGGTGGGGGGTGGAAAGCAGCGGATTTCAGGAAGAGCAGAGCATGCAAAACCTCTGAGGTCGGCACCTACGGGGAGCCGGAAAGATGAAAGGGGGTAACGTGACCACGACATAAGCGGAAGATGGGGTACAGTGACAATGGACACACACGCGCAGCTGGGTTTTCACCCTCCGTGCAATGAGTAGCCACGGGAGTTTAAAGAGGCCCGGAGGTGCTCTGAAGACACCACACACAAACCGCCCGCCGCCCGAGCCCCGGGAGCTGGCGGAGGCTTCCCGTCCACGGTGCAGGGGGGAGAGCGGGAGGGGGACTGGCACTACAATGAGGCAGGGGGAGCCGGGGAGAGGCCGAACCCGGGCGGGACGAAGCGCTCCCCTACGCAGAGGGAAGCACCGCGCTCGGAGGCTGAGCGACGGAAGGGCCGGGCGGTGGGGCCCACCGGGGCCGGGAGAGGGGCTGGGCCAGCACGCCCCACCTC